TGAGATTCAAAGACTGAGTATCTCCAGGAATCTGAAGGAGGAAAGAAATCTGCTTAGTTTTGTTGCAGATGGCTGCCAACTTCAGGATGTGCCGCAGACTTTTTCTACTATCAGGTGATTTATGAATATCAGCTAATACCCAGGTTAGCACTTTTACTGCTTTTAGGTTAAGTGCCATAAGTTCATGGGTTCTGTAACCTCACATGTAACAAAAATCAAAAAGATGAGAAAAACATGATTTTTAATCCATCCACCCTCTAATGTGAATTTATTTATGATCACTTTGACTCCTGAAACTATTCAGTCCTAATCACACATTATTAGTGAGATGATTTAGCATAATAAAATTGTGCCTTTTTACATCAGTGCTAATTAAGTGCCTGAGGCACAACAGATACTAAATTAAATACTGTAAATTTAATTTACTGTAGTAAATTCCTGTAGAGTTTCATTCAGGGAGAAATGATTATTACTAAAGTAAACCGTGATACTGAAAGAAAACCCATATGATGACATTTTTTAAAGGAGTTTCTGACTTAAAATGAACTAACATTTTACTTGAAATAATAATGAATAATTAATGACAAGGATTGCAGCTGTATAAAAGCTTTCACTGAAATCGTTTTCAGAATAACTCTTCAAAATTATGATTCTAGAATCTAATTATCCCTTTCTGCAGCCTTAAGAATGTATTTAGATGATTTGAGGCTACATACAATGTTAAATCTCAATAACCAAAAATCCCAGACATGGAGATGAAAGCATGCTATTAACTCTAAACTGGGATTATCATTTTTCAAAGGTCTTTCCTGCCCAGTTTTAAATGTCTGGCGCTAAAAACGATAAGCAAACAATTCTGTCAATAGACCTCTTGTGTTTCTTAGTCTGTTCTTCTCAAAGTGACAAAGTGCCTTGATTCCAGCAGCGATTCTGCAGTCTGCTTTCTCCTTGGGTTTCCATTGTGACCGTTTAACTGCTGAAACGGAGCCCAGAATGAAGAATCAATCATACAATCTGAACATTGCAAGTGATACCAAAGAGGTAAATGAACTCATCCCTCTGCCTCGGGGAAGGACAAACTGTGCCCAAATATTTCCAGAGGCATAACTTTGCATCCTAATGAGAGAGAAAAACTAAGGAGTGGGAATTCCTCAGGAACCTGTTTGCATACTTTTGGTCTATTTCTATGCTAATCCAGTTGGCAAGTACTGTTCTAAAGTGTACAGGGTGGAGCTCCCGGTGCAGCCAGATTAGCACGTGACTAGGATTAGGCATCTAGCTGCTGCACATTCATTCATTTGCCTGAGAAAATTCTTTTTACAGATTAAACAACCATATAGAATACAACTACTTTTATACATTTTACTTTACATGGATAAACATTTCTGTTCTCAGTACTTTTCCATCTCTCCCCTCCCTTCAATTCCCTCTCCATTCTTTCACTTTTAAATTTGGTCTTCTTTCTCCCTGGCCTGCTCTTTGACGCTCCACCCTGGGTAATGACACCACTAAACTGGAAGTTTAGCTCACTACCTTGGCACCGTCTTTTTTTCCTGACCGTTTATGTCCTACTGGATGCCAAACTCTGTCATTAGTGCTTTAAAAATGACACCTGCATCAGTCTCTCTTTTCCATTTTGTTGCTACTATCTTACTTCAGGCTTTTATTACGTTTTGCTTGGATACAAATTAATTTCCCTGCTCTTCCCCTTGCTTTGATTTCTCTCCAGCTCCTAAG